ATGCAATTCTCAACTGTAAATAAACGGAAAACACTTGTGAATCACAAAGCACAGAAAATTTTTACAGTGAAAACAAGGTTTGAAAATTTTATACATTTCATAAAAAATTCATCATCGCGATGACTTGCATGGTTATCATTATCACAGCTCTGTTAAAATGACCTAAAATGATGGCGGTAAATAGCCTAGTGGTTAATGTGCCAAGACATTGCAATATAGTGATCCAGCCAGATCTCACAATAAAAACTTAAGTATTTTACATATTGTCAGTTTAGTGGCTAATTCGTATGAGTTCAGTCGTCCTAAATTATATGATTTTTAAAAACTAATTCGAATTAGCCACTAAATCAAAAAATAACGTATTGCCATGAGATTGTGTTGGGTGATCACGATGACCCCATTTTGATTTCCGGCTCGAGTTAATTTGCTGATCTTTTTTTACTCTTCCTACATTCCTATCTATAATCTCCACTGTCCTTCCCTTCATTCATTCATTTTCTTTTTGGCTTAGTCCCTTTATTAATCCGGGGTCACCACAGCGAAATGAACCGCCAACTTATCCAGCACATGTTTTACGCAGCAGATGCCCTTTCAGCTGCAACCCATCTCTGGGAAACATACATACACAGTCATTCACACTTATACACTACGAACAATTTTAGCCTCTCCAATTCACCTGTACCGCATGTCTTTGGACTGTGGGGGAAACCGGAGCACCCGGAGGAAACCCACACAAATGCAGGAAGAACATGCAAACTCCACACAGAAACGCCAACTTACCCAGCCGAGGCTCGAACCAACGACCTTCTTGCTACCTACTGCGCAACTGCATCGTCCTCTCCACTGTCCTATAAAAATTAAAGGTGAAAAACCCTAAAATAAATAATTCATAAATTTTTCATCGGATTAGTCCCTTATTTATCAGGGGTTGCCACAGCGGAATGAACCCCCAACTATTGCAGCAAATGTTTAAAGCAGCGGATGCGCTTCAAGCTGCAACCCATTAATGGGAAACACCTATACACTCTCACATTCACACACACACACTCATACACTACCGCCAATTTAGTTTATTCAGTTCACCTATAGCACATGTCTTTGCATCCAGTGGAAACCCACGCCAACACCGGGAGAACATGCAAACTCCAGAAACGTCAACTGGCCCAGCCGAGACAGTGCTAACCACTGAGCCACCGTGCCCCCCATCACTCAAATTAATAATAATTATTAAAAAGTTAATAATTAAATAAAATGACACATGCATTCCACCAAGTGTTGTATCTGAAAATGAAGAAACAACAAACAAAATGTGCATCTTTATGCAGTTCTGTGGCAAACAACATACACAATGATATATGTGCTTAGATTTGTTTACTAATGTTTGTATTATTTAATTTACATTGGGCTTTTTGTGTGTGTTGTACTGTAATAGGAATGTTCGATTTTGTTCTTGATGGTATTGTTTGCTAAACCTGCATTTGGAAAACTCCAAATCCAATTTGGAAATCCATGTTTACCTTGTTTTTCACAAAACTGCATAAAGCTGCTTTATATACACTTCAAAAAGGGCGATTTGATGAAAATATCTAATTGCAATTATTCTGACTGATGTTGCAATTTGATTTGTAGCTTATTTTTGTAAGTCAAGCTTCAGCTCAGTAACTGACTATAATTTGACATTTTATGAATAACCAAAAACTACAGTATCAGCTAAAAACTTCTTTAATGTTCTATTGTTGTGATCAACTAACTTGAACAGCCTGAGGTTAAGTAAATTAACAGTCCCTGATTCAGAAGTACACGTCAGATCCATTTGTTGTCTGCTTTTGGCAACTAATAGAGCATTTTGAGACAGAAATACAGACATGTGTTTCCATTTTTTTCAAACTTTTTGAACTCATGACGTTTAATAAAAAAATTGACAACATCATCGTTTGCCAAAACAAGTCTTCTCTCAATCATTTAATCCACTTAAAGCTTGCGTTTACCAGCCTGGATGTTTGTGCATAAAACACCCACATCTCAAATATCAAGACTTCACCTTAAATATTTAACAGATAGGTTACACATTTACTCACACTCTACTTGTGTTTTTTTTTCTTTGTTTTTTTTTTTACACAAAAGAAGATTTACTGAAGAAAGCTGGAAACCTGTATCCATTGACTGCCATACACTGTAAAACCCAACACGTCAGGTTCTATCTGACATTTTTGTCAAAATTGAGTTTTGACATACTTATTAAATGACAACTTATTTAAATTATGGGATGCTTTTTTTATAAGTTATTTATATTTTAAGACATTTTATTTAAAAACAAATGTTACACACATACTGTTATCTATATGAAATGCAAAAACTTTAAAGCTCAATTATCTCAAAATCAGTGACGAGCAGTCAACTTTATTAAATGAAATGAGTGTAGTTAACTCAAAATTTACTAAAAGTTAATTTTTCTGATTTGAAAAGAGTTTTAAACTCAGTGTTAAATGTAATGAGTTCATTAAATACCTCATTACTTCAACTTAAATGGAGTAAGTTTACAGTACTCATATAGGTGATTTTTCAACTCAAATGGTTTGTAACAATCGGTTTCCTCAAACAGTTGGCGTGCCTTATCTTACTGGGTTTTACAGTACTTAGTTGGTTTGAGATCTCTTCATTTATCGTGTTTTATTGTGCACAAATTGCTTTGTTTACTCAAATGGATAAGGTTCACATTACTGAGGACTCGTTTTTTAAACTTTGTTGCAATCGGTTTCCTCAAAAGGTTTGAGTTACCTTAACTTTCGGGTTTTACAGTGTAATATTTGTTTTTCCTACTATGGATGCACTCAAAAGATTCCCTTTACTGCTTGTTCAAACTATTTATTTACTGTGAGCTGAACCAACACAATTCTTAAGTTTTTTGGGGGATAACTTAATTGTTTTAAGTTAAATCCACTTAAATTTGTAAAAACGATGAAGTTAACGTTACCGATTTGTGTTGGGACAACATTAAGGAATTGTGTGGAGCCCAGCATTTTTTTACAGTGTGTCAATGGTTACAGGTTTTCAACATTCTTCAAAATATCTTCTTTTGTGTTCAACAGAAATCTGATTTGGAACAAAGCAAGAGCATGTGAATAATGACAGAATTATTATTTTGGATGAACTATCCCTCAAACTTTTTTCCAGTCCAATAAAGACAGCAAATCAAAGAGTTAATGACTTATCGTAACTTCAAACTTCATCACAACTTCAGTAAGTGGCTTTTCAGCATCTCCACGATCTCAAAAAGTTACTAACACCACAACGCCACATTGGAAAGCTTGACTTCAACAAAGTGGCCAGTCTTCTCAGTATTCTTAGAAGCAACAGGATTAATAGAGCGACTCCCCACAAGCAAATTACCGTAGTCTGCGTGTAATCACCAGTGAAATGGAGTCCCTCGCTCTTCATTGTTACCATGGCAAAGATTACTAGAATGCTCTAACATTTTCACAGAAGATGCAGAAAGAAAGTAACCATCATAGCCAGAGTAAGTATCCTGGGCGAAGGAATGTTTCCAGATACAATAATGGGTTAGGGAAAGCTGGAGCAGAGCTTGATGATTTCTAAAAGGAAAAATAATCTCTCTCTCTCTTCCTCTCTCTCTCCTTCTTTCCACCCCCCTTACACATTCTCTCTCTCTCTCTCTCTCTCCCTGTCTCTCAGTCCCAGCCCCTGAAGGTGTCATAACTGTGCTCTCTCCCTCTCGCTCTCTATCACCGCCTTTCAGATCTTTAAAAGCCGCTGCTTTGCCGTTTCTCACTCGTTCTCGGTTTTGTATCCTCTGGCACTGCAGGGGGACTCACCAAGCAAAGCTGAAAAAAGCCAGCGCAGAAACAGAGAGAGGGGAAAGAGACTTCCAGAAATAGCATCAGCCACGTACGACAGGACCGAGCATGGAGAACCTGAGACCTGGACGCAAGATGTCTTTCCTTTCCAACTTGACAGCCGTTGTCCTGTTGCTGGTCGTCCACTGTGGATCCTGGTGTCTGGCGGGTCGCTTGGGCCCCCACAAAAACTGCCCGACATGCAAAGATGGGCACTTTTCGGGTGCAGGTCGGGCCTCCAGGGACCCGGCCGGGGCGGCCAGCACCACCGTGCTGGCGTTGGGGGAGCCCTGCGGGGTGTACACCCTAAGCTGCGCCAGGGGGCTCCGCTGCATACCCCCTCCGCGGGAACACAGCCCCCTTCAGGCTCTGCTGCAGGGCAGAGGCTTCTGCGCCAAACACAGCAGAACGAGTCCCACCGAGAGGCCCCGCCCCACAGGTAAGAGTTCCAGCCAGCAGATGCCTTTGCGGTCCCTTCCTTCCGCAGGCGGTGAGGGCTAATCTGCTTTAAGTGCCACGGCGAAATAGCTGGAGGATGCATTTCAGGTTCGACGGATATATATGCTGGCAAGCCGCTTGTGCTGCTGCAGTGTCCATATCAGAGACTTGCTAGGATGACAAAACTGTAACCGAAGCAAGGACATGTGCATAAAGTGCCGGGAATAGCTGCTGGTTTTGCATGTGATGGCTGTAAATTCCTGCAGGGTGTAAAGGCATTTCTGTGATTTGAGGCTTTCGCACGTCGTAAATACGCATGATGAAGATTACTTGCAATAATGGTGGGGGGGTTTGTATGTAATGTGAATATGCCAGGAGTGTGTGTGTGTGTGTGAGTGCAGGTGTGTGTGAGAGAGTATGTGCAGGAATGTGACAGTATGTGACACTATGTGGATGAGTGCTGGCTTGGCATGCATATGGGAATCAGAACAATTCAGAGGAGAAACAAGATGAGATAGAGTGCAAGAGTTTGTGTGTGTGTGTGTGTGTGTGTGTGTGTGTGTGTGTGTGTGTGTGTGTGTGTGTGTCTATAAGAGTCACCCACATTCTGACAGTGTCCTTTCAAGTATCAGGTGTCTCCATCTACTGTTTGCTTTAGGTCACTGCATCTCATAGACAGCATCATTTAACAATTAAAGAGAATGATTTGAGGAACTATTCCTTTAAAAAAAAGATACAACATGAAGCAGCATGTACTCTTTAAGTATAGCCAAACATATTATTTCAGTCAAATAATACTCAGTAGAGCCTTTTTTTCCTTTTCTAAAAAAACGCAGAGTCATTTTTCACTATTAATGTCTCTTTTTTAACTTCACAGGGCCACATCCTTCACACAGTGGTGAAATGGAAAAGGTGAGTTTCTCTTGGATTTCTTACTTAATTTCAATACAGCATGATAAATACCTCATTTAAAGGTTTATAAATTAATAATGATCAAATCAATCCACAGAAACATTTTGTAATTTATCCAAAGGCTTAATCTGTTGTAATTAATTAGCTTGATGTATCATGAAGCCAAGTCAGACTATGTATGTATGCATGTATGTGTTAAAATAATAACTGCTAAACTAATTTACAGACTTGTCATGGCATCTACAGTGCTCAGCATATATAAGTACACCCCTCACAAATCTTTCTTTTAAATTTGTATTTTTAATAGGAAGCTATACAATATTATATTTGTGCATATGCATTAGATTAGTCAGTGCTGATGCCAAATTTCGAGCTTACAAAATAAACAAAATAACTTACAAAATAACGGTCCAAAAACTTACACTAAAAAAAATTACACTAAATTTATGTTATAGAAAAATATTAAATACAAATTTAAAAAAGAGGAAAAATCAAGAGAAGCAAAAAATGGAAAAATTTTGTTGAAATTTTGTAGGTTATATTTTTATGTTTGCAATATTTTGCATGAATTTAATTGTATTATTTTTCAATTTCTAAAAATGTTTGGTGATTAAAATATTCTTTTAACAAATACATCTGTTTAATAAATCTGTTTTGTCTAAATGCACCGAAATACAGTGTGTATATTCAGAGAAATGGATCAAAATATTCATTTTCAAAATGGCATGTACTCAATTATGCTGAGCACTGTATACATTTGCTTCTCTCTGGTGATTTGAAGTGATTCTTTCATCCTCTGTTGCTTTTAATAAAATAATATATGAATAAATATATTAAATAAATGAATATTTGTATAATTAAAGTGAAATACCAAACAAAATATGAACCCCAAAATAGAACTGGATGTTCAAATGTCTCCTAGAAATAACACATGGTGTTATATGTATGATGGATGGCAATTTCTTTGCATTTCCTCACCAGGCTCCATGTCGTAAGCTGCTCAACAGTGTCTTGCGGGGTCTCGAACTCACCATTTTCCAGTCTGATCGTGACATCTACATCCCAAACTGTGACACTCGTGGCTTCTACAGGAAAAAGCAGGTATTGTTTGGCTGAATCAATAATCGCATGTTAAAAGAGGCATACAATGTAGTAGTTTTTCTACTTCAGAAGTTTACATAGAATTCAATGTTTCTTTGTCATTTTTCAATAAAGTAACCATTTAGTGTGCATTTTACATTTGTTTTATCGATTGTTATCCATTGCCCTGTTCTGAAACTGTTTTGATCATCATTATAAGTCATTTTGACTTGTTTGTATGGGTATGACCTAGGTATTACAATGTTGAGGTGGTTTATGAGGACATGCTATGTGTCCTCGTAATTAAAAATTTTAAAAATCAGACTTAATTTGCTACTGGTTTACAGTGAGGATTGAGTTTAGGGGTAGGGTAAGTAAAAATATTGTACATCCAGGTAGTTTTTAATCCCAGAATAAAGCTAGTCAAACTGAAAACAACCAGCTGGATATATGTTATCCCGCTTATTACATGGCTATCTGCCACAAACCTAAAACTTAGACACAAAACATTGTTCTGAGCAATAATAGTTTATTAATTCTTTAATTAAAGGCAAAGCAGAAAAGAAAATGTCACCATAATAAGTCATTTTGTCCTATTGTAATACCTTTAACGGTGTGTAAATGAGAAGTTAGAATGACGTACCAATTTGAGAACAATCTCTTGTTGTCTTGCAGTGTCGGTCCTCAAAGGGCATGCAGCGCGGCCACTGCTGGTGCGTGGATGAACTGGGCAACACCGTGCCATCACGTGCTGGGGAGGATGGCATTTTACCATGTGACGGAGAGTGAGGGGAGCGAGGGTCCCGCAGCTCTGAGCCTGGAGGAAGAGGAAGAGGAGGGGTAGACGGGGAGAGGGGATGATTTCAGCTTGGTGCAAGACACTGCCTGACCAGGACACACCAGGGATAAACCACTTCAACATGGAAACGGGCCCTCACTCCGAACGTCCAGAACACGTTCACTGCCATAAACTCGAACATTATGAATAAGACAGCGTCAGAATACAGAAATAATGACCACTACACCACATGAGCTTAAGTCAGTTGTTACAGAGATATTTCATTTCTGGTCCTACAGTGCAAGTACTGGTTTTGGTGGTTAATTGGGACACAGATTTGTATGGGTATGACCCAGGTATTACAATGTTGAGGTGGTTTATGAGGACATGCCTTGTGTCCTCGTAGTTCAATAATGGTAAAAATCATACTTAATTTACAGTGAGGATTGGGTTTAGGGGTAGTGGGTAGGGTAAGTAAAAAATCAAGTACATCCAGGTAGTTTTTAATAGCAGAATAAATCTAGACAAACTAAAAACAACCAACTGGATGTATTTTATGCCGCTTATTACATGGCTGCGTGCCACAAAACAAAAAAAAATTTGACACAAAACATTGTTCTGAGCTATAATAGTTTATTAATTCTTTAATTAAATGCAAAGCTGACAGAAACGTAAACGGCTGAATGGAGAATACACTAATCTACATATTATTCAGCCACAAGATGGCGTCAACCGAAGAGCGCTGTTTTATGAGACTAAAGGGTTTTATTGCGTGAAAACAACCGCCTGGATGTATTTTATCCAGCTTATTATATGGATACTTGCCACAAAACGTAAAAATTAGCCACAAAACATTGTTCTGAGCTATAATAGTTTATTAATACTTTAATTAAATGCAAAGCTGACAGAAATTAAAATGGCTAAATGGAGAATATACTAATCTACATGTTATTCAGCCACAAGATGGCGCCAAATCGCGGAAGGCTGTTTTGTAAGACTGAAGGATTTTATTCTATGAAAACAACCACCTGGATGTGCTTTATCCCGCTTATTACACAGCTACATGCCACAAAACTTATTTATTGGATACTAGCCACAAAATGTAAAAATTAGACACAAAACATTGTTTGGAGGTATAATAGTTTATTAATTCCTTCATTTAAGGCAAAGCTGACAGAAACGGAAATGGCTGAATGGAGAATACACTAATCTACATATTATTTAGCCACAAGATTGCGCCAAATGTGGAGGGCTGTTTTAGGAGACTGAAGGGTTTTATTTTGTGAAAACAATCGCTTTGATGTACTTTATCCTGCTCATTATATGGATACTTGTCACAAAACGTGAAAATTAGGCACAAAACATTGTTCTGAGCTATAACAGTTTACTAATTATAATAGTTTACTAATTAATTAAAGGAAAAGCTGACAGAAATGAAAATGGCTAAACAGAGAATACACTAATGTACATATTATTCTGCCACAAGATGGCACCAACAGCAGAGGGCTGTTTTATGAAACTGAAGGGGTTTATTCTGTGAAAACAACCACCTGGATGTACTTTATCCTGCTTATTATATTTATACTAGCTACAAAATGCAAAAATTAGAGACAAAAAATGGTTTTGTGTCGTAATAGTTTATTAATTATTCAATTAAATGCAAAGCTGACAAATGAAAACTACTGATTGGAGCATACACTAACCTATGTATTATTGAATCACAAGATGGCGCCAAACAGCTGCGGAGACAGACAGGCATATATTGTAATACCGAGAAGAGACTGTGTTATCAATTTCAGTGGATTAAATCTCGGAGTAACATACATAACTTTGGTATTTCAAAACTGACCAGAATCAAGTATTTCAGACTTGTCTTGTCATATGGCCATATAATAAGCGATTTTCACCCTATAAAATATATTACGCCTATGGAGAATCCTCATAAACCACCAAAACCAAAGTGTGTGTGTATATGTGTGTGTGATAGTAATCCGCGCCTATGTTTGTTTCTCAATGGGCTGTTATACAGTTTAAGCAGATGGGGTGATTATGTTTTTGAACCGTCCCCTCTCCCCTTCTCCAGTGATACACTGACTAAACTATACATTTACCTTCTTCATCTAATTTATTCTGGAGTATGATTAATACATTTCCTCAAATGCTTCCCATCGAGGACTTGCATATACCTTTGAATCGTCCACATTGTCATGTAATCTAAATGCTATCATAAATGTGCACGTTTGGGAAATACTCCATTTTTTCTTTTTCGTTCATACGGCACTCTGACTGCAAACACGCATCGTGGATTGTTTGTACATAAGTGAGTTTATTGTGGTTGGTTGTGTCATGAGGTGGAATATTCTTGAATGCTGATGGCTGTTACCTTTTTTGAGAAGTGGTTAGGCATATTTTTATATATTTCAGTATGCTATTTTATATATATAAAAATATATATAAATTGTTGATTTATTTAATGAACTACAATGCCATGTATTTTTATATTGTCAGCAGTTTTTCATTGTCAAAACAGAGCTTATTTTATTTGCTAAGAGAATGAGAGCGCCATATGTTGGTGGCACCATAAAAAGGGATTAAAAAACACACAATTTCAACCCCCTTTAGAGAGCATTTACTGCTGTACATGTGTTTTTATATGATTATATTATTATTATTATTATTATTATTATTATTTCATGTCATGGTTGTTTCGTTATTTATGTTGTTATGTTGATCCTTCAGTATTGGAAAGTGCTACTATATCGCTGCATTTTCAATATTTCAGATTGTATTCTGGGTATTTTGTTCAGATCTCTGTGTTTTCTCATTCCCACAATGCATTGAGGAAAAAAAAGTGCAAAAAATAATGTCTGATCAATGTACCTCACACTGATTTTGTTGTATCAATATATGTGCCAGTAGTTGTGGGTCCTTAAAAAGGAGCCCATCGCAAAGAGTATGTGTGCAAGAACTATGAGACAAAAAAATAAAAAATAAACCAATACAGAGAAAAATAAATGCATATGTTAATATAAAGTCGGTCTTGTTGCAGAATCTCTTTTAAAACTAAAATTACACATGCACAAATGACATATTTAAAAAAAAAAAAAAAGGAAGCAATGAATTAGCAAAGGCAACCAAAAAGAGCAGATGCTGCTGTTGGCTGCAAAAACGCAACCATATGGTCCTACAAATGTCCTCCTACAAATATTGCCTTGTGCATACTGAGCTATGGTGACTGTGCATTTCTGTGGGCTCTGAGATTTTGCTTACTAAGAATAACTTTGTGCTTGATCACTTCTTGCTATATTATCAGCTGCATATAGTGCTGTTTAAACAGTCTAACTCTCATATGATTAATTATTTAGAGTGCTGGGGGTTTTGTGCCAGGATTCATGCACATGTATAGTCCCACAATAATCCATATGCTTGTTTCCAAGGTAACACCATATAGCAGAATATAGCATGTCTGTGCTTTCATCATGCCCTAGTTTGAGAATTTATTCATTCTTTAATGTAAGAAACATTCTTGTACGCCTGTAGGCCTTTTTTGGGGGGATATATAAGCAAATATGTGCAGTATCACATTTACAGGTTACATTTAATATCGTAATTTAAATTTATAATAAATGAATAACTACATTTAGTAGTTTGTCGTCGATTTGTGGTGTGACAGTGGCATTAAAGACGTTAAAAAAAGGTATATAGAATTTATTACTTAATTTTTAATATCAACCGCTTCTATGAAAACGTGTGTGCGTGTTTACCTGTTCAACGGTGCCGTTTACGATGCTAGCTAAGATGGACGGTTGCAGTGGCATTGCTCTCATTCGTATGGTCTTCTGAAAAAAAATCCTATCAAGAGTTTATTTACAGGTTTTGGATCATTGGTTAGTAGCCCGAATCAAAAGAGTCCATCTGCAAGAGTATGTTGATAACGTGCCATCTCAAAATATGAACTCCTCCTTTGGTTGTGGCAAATCTGATGGGAACTTTTAATTCAGTTTCGCGAATCGATTCTTTTGAACAACTCTTTCAGGTTTTATTTATTTATTTATTTATTTATTTATTGCAATAACAACAGGCCATTACAACAAATACAAATACAAAACTAATATAGTACAAGCAGTACAAATATTACTTTTTTTGCAACGAGTGAAACGTAACAATTTTAAAATTAATATAATACATGTGAATCAAAAGAAAGACAAAGAAAGAGAGAGAAAGACACAAAAGAAAGAAATGAGGGCCAATAACAAAAATAAAACAAATTAATGCAGAATATTAAATAAAGCACATGTTTTATAAGTTTTAATAGCTTTCTTGTTGTGAGAGTCTGTGATGGTTTTTTAATAAAGTTCCAGTTCTCGTTTAAAAAAAAATTAAAAATTGCCTTACATTGAGTATATTTTCATGTGTATAAAAAAAAAACTTTACAATAAATAAAATAAGGTTTATGCAAAAAGTTGAATTAAGGAATTGTTTTACTTTAATATAAAACCCTAAAACAACATGTTTATAGTTTAAAGAAAAATCCCCACAAACCTTTGGACAATTAGAGAATTCACACCAGACCAGAAAGATTTAACAAAGGGACATTCCCAAAACAAGTGAGCAACAGATTCAGAAGAAGCCTCACAGAAAGAGCAAGATACGTCAATGTCATTTAAAAAAAAAAATTCAGTTTAAAAAACTGGATAAAATCTGTGAATAATTTTAAAAGAAATTTCTTTAATTTTAGTTGTTAAAAAAATTCTGGGGGAGTGACCAAACATACGACTATTTAATATCATCAAAGAGGTTGTTCCAAAAAGAAATAGGAGTTGAGATGACAAGGTCTAAATCAATTATTTCACGTTATTGAGAAGCTTCTGGTGGTAAACAAAAACCTAACAAGATTCGGCCCCCAAAAATATATAATTTTTAAAAATTACTATCATTGTTGTGGGTGACGCGGAGGCGGTTCTACACCAAGAAGGTCGCTGGTTAAAGCATTAAAGCCTCGGCTAGGTCAGTTGGCATTTATGTGTGGAGTTTGCATGTTCTCCTCGTTTCCCCCGGGTGCTCCGGTTTCCTCCACAAGTCAAAAGACATAGGTGAATATATGGTAAGCTAAAATTGACCGTAGTGTGTAAAGCTGAATGGATGTTTCCCAGTTTTGGGTTGCAGATGGAAGGGCATCCGTTGCGTAAAACATATGCTCAATAAGCATATGTTTTATTATGAAGGGCGAAAAACCAAACTTTACTGAGGGTTGTGGGCTAAACAGGTCAACATAGCAATGACCTGTATTGCATTAATGTTGCCATGAGTAATTTCCTAATTTGTTTTACAATATTTCACAATAAATAGCAAAAATACTTTAATTGAATACCTAATGCATTATCATCTTATGATGAATTACAACAAAAACAAAAATGTATATTATAACACAATCCAGTTCAATGCTGTATTTTGCTATTATTCGATACAAATTGTCCTATTTAATGTTCCTTATATGTATATTAAGATTTGTATATAAAAAAACTGTACATATAAGTGAAATTTTAATGTTAAAGTAAATGTCATTAGCCTTTATGCATGTAGCTTTAC